CCTATTTCATTTACTTTAGAGTTAGAGCGAGACATGAGATTTTATCTAGAAACTAGTATATACAAAATTTAGCAAGAAATTTTTTTTGTTAGAACATCGAAGGTGGTTTCATATGCGAATTTTTGAGATATGAGCTTTTTTTTAAAAAAAGAAACTTTATTTTCATTACACGAAAATTGATTTGCACGCTACACCTGATCCTACAAGTTTATTGGCTAATTTTATACTGGTAAATAGCAAACTTCTTTTGATAATTCTTGTCGATTCGATTAGCCAATAAAATCAAACTTTGACCCATGCTGAATGCAAGACTTTAGCAAACTCCAAGATAAGTTACTTGAGATTCCTAAAAAGTATTATAAAATACTACAAAAAAATTCTTTACCAATCGTGCAACGATCTACAAATTGATATAACTGTCCATCCTTATTCTCGTCACTCACATTAATTAAAAAGTATTTATAAAGTTAGACAATACATTAGCGTTAGGGATTCCACTTTCCCAAAAATGCCTGTTCAACTATTACTGGATCATTTTACAAATAGATCGTCGCAAACTAATTTTTAGATAAATTGTTACCAAACCCGGTATGGATAATGCGACGCGGGAGATAATTAAAATTAGGAGACGAAACGCAAAGAGATATATATTATGCACCAATTTAGCGATGAAATCCTTCAAATTTCATTTAGTGTGTACAAATATATTTATATATATTTGTTACTATATAAACTTCTTTTAAAGTCTTTCTAAAAACGGAAAATGAAACAATTACGTAATAATAGAATTTGATTGTGTGTACGCCTCAGAGATTAAATAAATGGATAATCATTTCTCTTTTAAGTAAATATGTTTGGCATATGTTTTTTAGACTTGAACTAAACCAAAAAATTATCAACTTCGAATATTAACTCGTGAAACAAAACTACGTAACATAAATGCTATTGGGGCAACAAGAAAGGCACGAAGATGGTGTCACATTTTCCTTTTGCGATTTTATTAATTCAAGAGCATATTCTAAATAGCAGATACATAAATATCAAGTTCATGAATTCTTTAAATACATTTATATAAACCCGTAAATTTCCTAATTATTTTCCTCTCGATTTTTCTTTTTTATTCCCAAAATTTTCCATGTCTTATAACATAAAGAAATCAATTCCTAGTCAAAGTAAAGTTATTTCGACTGTTGACTCTTACTTTCAATATGCGAAAGAGATAATTATCGATAGGTCTTGGATGCCATTACTTCAATTGGGTATTAATTATTCATATATTCATCCGTC